GTGGAGGAAATTTGGGAGGAGTGTCCGGGGGGCAGCAACTTAAAAGGGGGAGGGAACTGCAGCCTAGGAGACGATCGGTGATGGGAGCGCAATGTATGAGGGGATACCGTGCCTCAGGTTTAAAAGAGCAGGAAGCCGAGTGAGAGGTTGGAGAAAAAGTGCCTTCGCCAGGCGGAGGTTACAGGTGGTGTCTCGGAAACAGCTCGCAGGCTGCAGGCTGTAGTTGTTGGGAAGCGGCTCGGATCCGAGAACTGTGTGGAAGGAAGGGACAGCTTGGGGGCCAGCGTCCTGGGGCGAGGGGGAAGTTCGCGACTTTCTGAGGACTGGCAGGAATGTGCCTCCTGGCCCTCGGTGCTTCCCCCCTGGGGGGAGGCATCGCGAGGGACTGTGGCAGGCTCCACTGAACGCTGAGCTGCGGAGAACTCCACGTATGGATCCAGGGAATGAGAATTCAGCCACAGAGGCTGCGGCGATCATAGACCTCGATCCCGACTTCGAACCCCAGAGCCGTCCCCGCTCCTGCACCTGGCCCCTTCCCCGACCAGAGCTCGCTACTGAGCCGTCTGAGCCGCCCGAGGTGGAGCCAGGTCTGGGAGAGAAAGTACACACGGAGGGCCACTCTGAGCAGATCCTGTTGCCCTCCCGGCTCCCGGAGCCGGCAGGGGGCCCCCAGCCCGGGATCCTGGGGGCCGTAACAGGTCCTCGGAAGGGAGGCTCCCGCCGGAATGCCTGGGGAAATCAGTCATATGCAGAACTCATCAGCCAGGCCATTGAAAGCGCCCCGGAGAAGCGACTGACACTGGCCCAGATCTATGAGTGGATGGTCCGCACTGTGCCCTACTTCAAGGACAAGGGCGACAGCAACAGCTCAGCAGGATGGAAGGTAACTATGACCCCCTTACCTTGTCACAAGGCCACCTACCCCTGGGCCCCATAGCCTCCTTACTTCGACCCGGGGGGGGCCCTTTCACCTACCATCCTCACCCCTTTGGGAAACCCTGAGATCCACCTTCAGTCTTCAGTTAGACAAACATTTACTTAGCACATAGTGTGTGCCACACTCGGTGCCTGATGCTGAAGGATCCCAGATGAATAAGACACTGTCCCTGCCCGGGAGAAAATCGAACTCTCTGCTGGCTGCTCAACACTCCCAGCACTTTGGCTTGGGCTGCCCCAAACACTTATTCCCACAGAGAAGTCTTTATCCTATGTACGGCAGGAACTGTGCGCATTCTCCACGTGAACCTAGCCTTCCCTCCTCCCCCACCTCCCACCCCAACACCTTTTCTCCCATTCCTGTGGGATTACTTGAATTCCCCGCTTTCCTCCCAATATCTCAGTGTAGAGGTACTGTTCCAAGACTGCTCTACCCTACCCAAGAGGAGGGAGCGGGGTTGCAAAGGGTAAAAAGAGCGATCTTCCTGCAGAAGGGTAGCTGATCTCACGCATAAGGAAGGGAGAGGCTGTGAGCTGCTGCCTGCCTCCGTTTACCCTATAATACCAAGAAACTCTTCCTCGTAATGGGCTATCCCAGTTTTGTGGGGAAGTCTTCATTTACTGTTGAGGAATATTCGTCTTGAAAAAGGAGGTAGGGCTCTGACTTTAGAGCACAAAATTGCTCCATTTCTTCATGGCCTTCCCTGAAGAAACTGTGAGGATAGATCTTGCAAGATACTCTGAAAAACTTGTCCTGAGAATATGTGGCTCTAGTCACAAAACTGGGGAGCTTCAACCGCTGTTGACCGCGTGTACCTCTCCAGGTGGCAAGGTCAGCGAAAAGCAGAGGGTTCAGTGAGCACGGGGTCTTCCCTTAGGTATAGGAGGTTACGGGATCAGATCTGCAGTATTCCTAGGGGCTGGAACAGAAGACAGGACAGCTGACTGAGACCCTTGGCACTATTTCTGGGTAGACTGCCATGCCACAGTCTCAGCCCATAAAGAGCTCCCCTCCTTGAACCCAGCCCGCACAGCTGTTTGCCTTTTCTCTTAGGTTCATTTTCCAGGGTAAAAGAAATATCCATGAGTTGTTCATTGTATTCTGGGAGTATAATCCCTCCTTACCATTTCTGCTTATATGGAGCTTTATCATTTACGGAGTCATTTTTGCATTTTTTATTTGATTCATCTTCCCAGAAATTCTGAGAGTCTACATTTTGTACATTAGGAAACTAAGGTACAGAAAGGTTAGAAAACTCGCCTGATATCAGCGGGATGAGGACTTGAACTCAAGACCCTATTTTCTAAGAAGGCCATGACTGGGCCAACCAGTGGCATGCTGGTTAAAGCAGCCAGATCCCACATGACTGACTTCATGGCTCAAGTCTTGGACCTAGCAACCTGAAAACACACCAGGCACATGTGCCTGTGTGCCCAAAATTGTGAGAGAAGGGAAAATGGAGGAGAGGGAATTGTGGTGTGACCATCTCTCATGGGGGGAGGTAGTTTCTCACTTTCTTTCTCTTCCCCCGCCCCCTTTGCTCTCTGGCAATAGCACACACTCTTTGGCGATCTTTCTTTTTTTTTTTTCTTTTCTTTTTTTTTTTTTTTTTTTTTTTTTTTTTTTTTTTTTTTTTTTTTTTTTTTAGAAGAAAGGCATGGCTTGCTCTCAGTGAAATGATGACAAAACTAAATCAGGCTGAGCCTGGGGCTTTCAAGGTCTCCCAACTCCCTCTAAGGGGGAAGCCTCATGCCTGAGAAAACTCCCCTACTGATGTGCCAAAGTTACTCCCACCCCACCAGGGGGCGGCACTTACTTAGAACAAGAAAGCTTAGGTTAGGTGGCTTGGGAACACTTAGAAGTCACGCAGTCCCCTGCCTTCCAATTCATAAGAGTTATTGGCTTTTAGGGGACTGACCTCTCCAGTTAAGAAACTGTCATCCTACTTGCTAGCTCTGAGGTCTAACAAAGAGGGGACAAACAGATTAGCCTCTTGGATACTAAGGAGCCGGAAAAGAATGGGCCTTCTCCGGAGACCCAGAGTTAGAGCATGAAAAGGGGGAGGGTGAATGTCACTGTAGTCCTCAGTTCCTAAGAGCCAGGCTGGATGGACAAGTGTGACTCCTTGAAGAGAGCTAGCAGCATCAGCACAGCCAGAGAGTAGTTGCAGGTCCCAGGGAGACCAGGAGTTGTTTGGCTAAAGAGCCCTGGGAAGAGAAGCTTCGAACCTGCGACATTTACCAAGCAAAGGGTCTCCTTATCTTAGAGCCCCAGTCGGAGAGATGCAAGCGGTTAGGTCTGTAGCGTCAGCCGCCTCCTTTCTCCAGCTGTCGTTGGCTCCTACAGAGTTTCTAAAGCGCGCCTAGTGGGAGGTCAAATGCCCCTAGGGTTAGAAATTTATGCACAAATTCCTGAGAAGTGGAGGAAAGGAGGCGGGAAGGAGATAGGGAAGAGAAGGGAGCTTCCCAGCAAGGGGGAGGGAGACCCAAAACTGTAATGTACCTAACCTGTAGCAACCAGTAAAAAATAAACTGGATCAAGGACTGAAGCAGCAGCTAATCTCAGCTCCCTGGGCTGCAGAATATAAACAATGTAGCCCTAACAGAATGTCACGGTGAGGGAGGAAGGGAAAACATATAGCTTCTAATACCCAGGGTACTCAAGAGCTGACAGGGCCTCAAGGGGAACCTCGCCATTGTCACCTGGGGGCCACCCACCAATCTGGCAACAAATATTGATTATGTACTATGGTCTTGAGTGTGTGTTGAGAATATGCGGTGGTCTCCAAAGGGGCACTTTTTGGAGTTGTGTGACTGGAAGACATTATCCGTGCCCTTGGCGCATAGACTTGATCAAACCATAATCTCCACAATAGACATTGGGTAAAATTGTGCAGAGCAGATTCAAACAAACAAACAAACAAAAAACACTACTAGAAATTTGGCTGCAAATTCAAGCAACCACTTTATAATGGGACCAGCAGTTAGCGTAATGGCTATGTCGCTGGACTCCCATGTAGTCGACCACAGTTCGAGTCCCGGACCCGGTGGCTTAAACTCACGCCGGGCGCGTGTGCGTGCGTGCCCAAGATCCCGAGAGGAGAATGGAGGACAAGGGATTGCGGCGTGGCCATCCCCCCTGGGTGGTGATTTCTCGCTTTCTGTCTCTCTGTCTCTCTCTGTCTTTCTGGTGAGCACACGTGCCTGTAGCCAAAAAAAAGAAAAGAAAGAAATGGGACTTCAGCTTGGTCTTGACAAACAAGTCAAATTTACAGAGGGGAGAAGGGAGTGAGAATTGAGCCTCATGTACTTGAGGCTCATTGAGAAGGCTAGACTGAGTGTAGTTGAGGTTGTGTGTCGTAGATTAGGAGAAATAAGGCTCAGATTTTTTTAAAAAAATCAAATCCTATAGAGAGCTGAGTGACCCAGATGCCCTCCAGGGAATGAAACAGCAGCTAGGCTGAGGTTCCAGAGCCTCAGTCTATTCAGTAACTGACTAGGGACAGTGTAGGTTAGTCCCAGGGCTGGCATTGCACCACTGTCCTGTAAGCCCCACCTGAGTCTGCACTCAAAATACTGTGGAATGCTCTTTCCCACCTGAACCTAGTTCTTGCTGGGCCAGGCATATGTCTCCCCGGTATCCACCAGCCCTGGACACTCCCCCACTCCCGCACCCGGGAGGAGCATTGTCCTAGATACTTTTGCAGAGTTCGTTCTGTGTCCTCTGTAGTAGATTATTACATTGTTTCCCTCACTCCCTGCACAGAAAAGTCTGGAGCATAGGCTGACCAGCTTGTCTTAGGGTGGGAACTCTGGTCTCTTCCTACCCCCACCCCACCCCCATCCTCACCCCTATCTCTGGCCATTTTCTCCCTGGACTTGACTCTCTTTGAGTCTCTAGGAACATGCCTCCTCTGTGCCAAGCATCCTTTTAGAGTAGGCTGCTGGCTACCGGCCTGCGCACACACCTCATGCCCCTTTCCTACCCCCTCCAGAACTCGATCCGCCACAACCTGTCCCTGCACAGCAAGTTCATCAAGGTTCACAATGAGGCCACTGGCAAGAGCTCCTGGTGGATGCTGAACCCCGAGGGAGGCAAGAGTGGCAAGGCACCCCGCCGCCGGGCAGCCTCGATGGATAGTAGCAGCAAGCTGTTGCGGGGCCGCAGCAAGACCCCCAAGAAGAAACCAGCTGTGCTGCCCGCGCCATCTGAAGGTGCCACTCCAACGAGCCCTGCCGGCCACTTTGCCAAGTGGCCAGGCAGCCCTTGTTCTCGAAACCGCGAGGAAGCCGATGTGTGGACCACTTTCCGTCCACGAAGCAGTTCAAATGCTAGCACCGTCAGCACCCGGCTGTCCCCCATGAGGCCAGAGTCTGAGGTGCTGGCAGAGGAGGAGATACCAGCTTCAGTCAGCAGCTATGCAGGGAGTGTCCCTCCCACCCTAAACGAAGATCTGGAGCTGTTAGATGGGCTCAATCTCACATCTTCCCATTCCCTGCTCACTCGGAGCAGTCTGTCTGGCTTCTCATTGCAGCATCCTGGGGGCACTGGGCCCTTACACACCTACAACACCTCCCTCTTCAGTCCCACAGAGGGGCCTCTGTCAGCAGGAGAAGGGTGCTTCTCCAGCTCCCAGTCTCTGGAGGCCCTGCTCACCTCTGATACGCCACCACCCCCTGCTGATGTCCTCATGACCCAGGTAGATCCCATTCTGTCCCAGGCTCCAACACTGCTGTTGCTAGGGGGGATGCCTTCCTCCAGTAAGCTGGCCACAGGAGTCGGCCTATGTCCCAAGCCCCTTGAGGCTCCAGGCCCCAGCGGTCTGGTTCCCAGCCTTTCTATGATAGCTCCCCCTCCAGTCATGGCAGGTACTCCCATCCCTAAGGCCCTGGGGACTCCTGTGCTCACACCCCCTGCCGAAGCTGCAAGCCCAGACAGAATGCCTCAGGATCTAGATCTTGATATGTATATGGAGAACCTGGAGTGTGACATGGATAACATCATCAGTGACCTCATGGATGGGGGCGAGGGACTGGACTTCAACTTTGAGCCAGGTACTGCACTCCCCGATCCTGGTAACGTCACACAACCTCTGTCCACTTCTGGGTGCCCGGTTAGTCTCGTGATCTGAGCAAGGGGGAGAATTAGAACTAAGGGGTCACTAGAGTTGCTGAGGAATTGGAGGAGTTCGGATAGAATGGCATAGTTTCCAGATGGGACCTCCAGGCCCTTCAGCAGTGCCCACCCCTACGAGGTAGCAGGTAGCGCAGAAGAGGGGAGTGTGCATGTGGGGCGAGGGGGTTTCTCCGTCTTCCTTGGTGTGAATCTGGACAGGCCGGATGTTGGCATGCCCCTGCTGAGTCTCTTACCTTGTTCTCCATTTCTTCCCACAGATCCCTGAGGCATGGCTGGGGGCTTTTGTCCCCTGCTTCAGAGGTGGAGCCAGGCGTGTCCATATCCACTCTTCACCCTTGAGCCCTCCCCAGGAATTTGGGACCCTGCTTTAGAGCTAGGGTGGGGTCTGATCACACACAGGTGTTGAAGAAATTATAAAGATAAAACTGCCCCTAATGGGGACACTGGGGGAGGGACAGGGGAGAGGGAAAGGGAGGGGGTTTATTCTCACTGTGCCAATTAGGGGGTAAGGCCCCCTCTCAGGAGCCATCCTTGGCTTCACCCATTCCCACCTCCTAGGCTTGTAGCAGGGGCGGGCAATGCTGTTGAAAATGTGAAGTCACCAGTGGCCTTACCCCTGCCTTTGGGAGCAGGATTTTTTGTAGAGAGTCTTATCTGAGTTGGGCCAGGCTAGGTTGAGCCTGGGATTTTTATGCAGTGGCCCCTTAGGCCAGTGGTGTGGGGTGGGGGAGGGGGCATAGGGGACCTGGAAGGGCTAAGGTCTGAGCACTGGAGTGGCTTGCCAGGCCAAATCACCCTTGGAAGGCTGCAGATAACAGAAAGGCTTTTTATAAATTTTTGAAGAAATACAAACACAAATATAGAGATTTTTAACAGTGGCAAGGTGCTAGTGATGGGGAGACTGCTTTTCTTTTTCTTTCTGAAGGCTTTGTCATAGTGACATGATACAAACACTACAGACAACACTAGAGGAGACACGAGGACACAGGGAAGAGGTGGGGAGCAGTAGTGACCAAGGGGGAAAATTCCCATTTGGACCAGGGCTAGAAAAGTCTGCATAAATAGGTTGGGGTTTCCCTCAGGAAGAAGCTAAGCCAGGTCCTCTCATTCTTATCAACTTGTGCCTGGGAGCATGTAGTGTTGGGGTGCAGCCACACCACACTCTTGTATGACCCAGAGTGGCACGTGCTACGGTAGAATGCATGAAAGGCCTGGAATTAGCTTAGTGCCTAGGAAGAGGGTTGGGAGCAAGGAGAAGAGGAGGGGAGGACTTAGGGTGGTAACGTTAAGTACACAGACCTCCCTGTTCAAGGCCCCCGACAGCTGTCCCTGCCCTTCTTCTTCCCTGACTACAGGGGTTATGTGGAAGTGTGTGTGGCACAAGGCGGGGGGGGGTTTCCCTCCACCCCAGCCCCCAAAGCAGCTCCCCCACCCTTTGTGTTGTCCCCTCCCCCACCCCTGCTGTGGGTTCCCATCATTTCCTGTGTCAGCGCCTGGCCTACCCAAGATTGTATCATGTGCTAGATTGGAGTGGGGAAGTGTGTCAAATCAATAAATGAATAAACTCAATAAATGCCTATAACCAGCTCTGGTTTCTGCTGCCTTGCTGCTCTGCTCAGATAAGGGGGAGGGAGAGAAAGGCGAAGGGCAGGCCAGGGTGGCAGGGACTGCCCAGAGGCAGAGAGGTGGGAGGGGTGGGGGAATTTCAGCAGGGGCAGGTGGTGGAGTGTGGTGGAGGAGGGACACCTAAACCTAGCAGGAGTAGGCAGGCTGTGAGATAGGCCTCCCTAGGGGAGGTAGTCTGGTCTGAGAAGACCCCACCCCCTACTCATGCCTTAAAGGCTCATTGTACTAGACTTCACTGCCCTTCCTCCTCCCACCCCCTGTACTCACCCTAGCCCTCTTTTGCCACTCCCATCTACCCTGAGAGCCTCCATGGTGCCTGGGGCGAACTTAGACCCCAGTGTAGATATTGGGAGAAGGTGACTGACTGTACAAAAAGTAACCTCACATTCAATTCCACTGATTCCAATCCAGTGTTACTGCTCTCACTTGATTCCTTTTAATTGAGTTACAGATGTCTAGTCCTCTTGAGAAAGTCTGCTCTGGTCTTATAGAGGGGGCTTCTGCGAGGGGGTCCATCTTCATCTGATTTTCCTGGTTTGGTCTAGAAAGGGAAAGTAATAGATCAATTAAAAGACCCCCACAGGGAAAGTTGCTACAAACTAAGGCCAAAGGGGACCAGCAGTTGGCATAATGGCTATGTCGCTGGACTCCCATGTAGTCAAACATGGTTCGAGTCCTGGATCCAGTGGCTTAAACTCACGCCGGGCATGTGCCCAAGATCCCAGGAGGAGAATGAAGGTGAAGGGATTGCGGCATGGCCATCCCCCCTCCCCGGGGGGTGATTTCTCACTTTCTGTCTCTCTGTCTCTGTCTTTCTGTTCAGCACACACACCCTATAGTAAAACACTCTCAAAAAATAAATAAAATAATAATAATAATAAAAAAAAACAAGGCCAAAGGAAAGAAAAAGGGGCTGAGGGGCTGGAGGCCGGTCTTGGGAACAGATGTTGCATCAGGAAAGGAAGTTCATCCCAGAGGGCCAGGGTGAAGGGCCTTCAGTTGGCTGGTGGGAAGAAGAGGGTGCTGTGGCAGACCACATTTAGGGAGTCTTACTGGGACATTTGTGGTGGTTTCAGCTGGAATGACCTTCTTGGCTTCTTTATTCTAATCATCTTTATTCGGTTCTTCTCCAAGATGTCACATTGTGTGCGCAAGGCATCTAGGAACCAAGAAAAGCACCCACACCTGTGAGGACTGGCAAGGTTATCCATCCCGACCTTCCCATCAGTTGGATTACCATGGCCTAAGAGGGAAGTGATGGGGTGCTGAAAGGAGGCATGCCAAGAAGGAGGCCAAGAAATGAGGAGGAAGGGGAGTAACACCTGCACGCTCCACCTGGTTTGAGCTGAACATTCCTCCTAAAGTGCACCTAAACCCTGTACCTGTACCCCTTTCCCTAGGCTCCCATGGTCCTCCCAACAGTATTACACTTGTCCATCACTCCGCTGTATACAGTACTCTTCATGTTTTTCCCTTCCCCATCACACGCCTTACCAATCAGCTCGGGTTCTGGATGCTTCAGAAGAGGCACAAAAGCTTTGTAGGCATTCTCAAGTCGGGTTCCTGTGAACATAGACGTGTGCTATCCCCAGCCCCTGTCACCCAGGTCTCCACCCTTCTGAAGTCCAGGATTTCGGAACTCTGATACCGACCACTACCTCAAACTTATTTATTTCCTTCCCCTAGGTTTGGATCTTAGGGTGAGTTATGGCTCCTAGGGTGAGTTGGGAGACATGGTATGTGTGAACCTAACTGATTGTTAGACTGACCAGAGATGGTCAGTTTGAATCTGGTACAGGGCGTCCTATTTTTAAGTTTTTATTTATTTATTTTTCTTGCCAGAGGGTGTGTATGCTCACGAGAGAGAGAAAGAGAAAGACTTCCTGGTGGGACATGGTCCTGCCACAATCTTTTCTCCATTTCTTTATCCTATTGGAATTTTGGGCAGTGCATGCCTGGCATGTTTTTCAAGCCACCAGGGCCAGTATTCTAACCATGGTTAGCCATGTGGGATCTGGCTCCCTGAAACACTAGGCTATGGGGCCAGCCCCAGGGTGTCCTAGGTGTTTGTTTGTTTGTTTGTTTTTTTAAGAGAGATTTTTGCTATAGGGTGAATGCGCTCCCCAGAGAGACAGAAAGTGAGGAATCATCCCCTGGGGGAGATGGCCACACTGCAATCCCTTCTCTTCCATTCTCCTCTTGGAGTTTTGGGTATGCATCCATACATGCCCAGTGTGACTTTTAAGCCACTGGGTCCAGAATTCAAATCACGGTTGACTATGTGGGAGTCCAGTGGCATAACCATTATGCCACATCTGCTGGTCCCTCTTTTTCCCCCCAGATTTTTGCCATAGGGCGCGTGTGCTCACTGGAGAAAGACAGAAAGCGATGGAGAGAGGGAAAGTAAGAAATCATCCTCCATAGAGGATGGCCATGCCATGATCCTTTCTCCTCCATTCTCCTCTTGGGGTTTTGGGTATGTATACACACACATGTGCCCAGCATGTTTTTCAAGTCTCTAGGTCTGGGACTCTAAACACATAGGTAGCCGTATGGTATCCAGCACCTTAACCACTATGCCACCCACTGGCCCTGAGGGTGCCCTATTTTAAGAACAAGGATCATGATCCATCTTGAGAGCCTTGCTCTATCTCTGAGGAATGCTCCCAAGCATCTACCTGGTGGCCCACGCTCCACCTTACAAATGTAGTAGGTGTTTCGAACCGTAAGGAATTTGCTGGCAGATTCTGTAGGGGTCTTCGACAGGAAAAACATCTTCATTGTACCCGTTTCATCACATAAGTCAATGGTATCTAGAGGGAAGCCACAGGGTAATTGACTCAGCTAGGGAAAG